GGAAACAGCCTAAATGTCCATCAACAGGTGACTGGATAAAGAAGAGGTGGTATTTTTATACAATGGAATACTACTCAGCCATAAAAACCGACAACATAACGCCATTAGCAGCAACATGGATGCTCCTAGAGAATGTCATTCTAAGTGAAGTAAGCCAGAAAGAGAAAGAAAAATACCATATAAGATCACTCATATGTGGAATCTAAAGACTCATGGACAGAGAATACAGACTTGTGGTTACCAGGGGGGTAGAGGGTGGGAAGGGATAGACTGGGATTTCAAAATTGTAGAATAGATAAACAAGATTACACTGTATAGCACAGGGAAATATACACAAAATGTTATGATAAATCACAGAGAAAAAAAATGTGACAATGAGTGTGTATATGTCCATGAATGAAAAATTGTGCTGAACACTGGAATTTGACACAACATTGTAAAATGATTATAAATTAATAAAAAATGTTAAAAAAAAAGGTTCACACACACACACACCCCACACATTATATAATATGCAAAACCTAAATTTTTTGCTTCACAATATATCTGGATATCCTTCTTTGTTCCTAAAATGTAGTTTAATCCTTTTTTTAAATGGATGTGTAATATTGTAATCCCTTCTTGATGGACACTTAAAATTTTTCCATTTTTTACCTTAGAATGAAAAATGCTTCACAGAACATTCTTATGTGATTGATACTGATATATCTATGTAGATATCTATCTATCTGTACAAGTTTCGTTATAAGAGAAATTTCTAGAATTTCTAGATAAGGAATAGGCACATTTTTAATAGTTATTAGCAAATAAGTATGATGATAATGATAGCAAAACCTTATACAGTATTTTCTCGGTACTAGACACTGTTCTAAGTGCTTTGTAGAAAAAATGCCTCTACAAAAAATAAATATGTGCCAATTTATACTTCCTCAAAAATGTATGAACATATTTGTTTCCCTTTATATCCTCAGCAGTACTGGCTGTTGACAAATATTTTAGCTACTGCCAAGCACATAAATGGAAAATATCTTTCCCTATCAATATACCCATGGCATTTTTCACAGAACTAGAACAAATAAGCTGAAATTTATATGAAACCACAAAAAGCCTCCAAATTGCCAAAGCAATCTTGAGAAAAGAGAACAAAGCTGGAGGAATCAAGCTCCTTGACTGCAGACTATACTATAAAGTTAAAAAAACAGTAATCAAAACAGCACGGTACTGGCACAAAAACAGACACATAAAACAATGCAACAGAATAGACAGCCCAGAAATAAACCCACACACTTACGGACAACTAATCTACAACAAAGGAGGTAAAACTATACAATGGAGAAAGGACAGTTTCTTCAGGAAAACTGGACAGCTAAATGGATATCTAAAAGAATGAGATTAGAATGTTTCCTCACACCATCTATTAAAATAAACTCAAAATGGATTAAAGCCCTAAATATAAGACCTAAATCATAAAACTCCTAGATAAGAATATAGGCAGAACAGTCTTTGACATAAAAATTGCAGCAATATTTTTTTTTTTTGGATCTGTCTTCTAGGGCAAAAGAAACAAAAGCAAAAATAAATAGGACATAAACTTAAAAGCTTTGCACAGCAAAGGAAACCATCCACAAAATGAAAAGACAATCTACTTAATAGGAGAGAATAATTGCAAATCATATGACTGATAAGGGGTTAAGATCTGAAATCTATAAACAGCTCATACAAGTCAATATCAAAAATAAATTAAAAACCCGATTAAAATATGGGTGGAAGACTTGAGTAGACATTTTCCAAAGAAGATATACAGATGGCCAAAGGCACATGAAAAAATGCTCAGCATCACTAATTATCAGAGAAATACACATCAAAACCACAGTAAGAAATCATTTCACACTTATCAAAATGGCTATCATTAAAAAGCCTACAAATAATAAATATTGGCAAGGATGTGGAGAAAAGGGAACCCTAGTACACTGTCGGTGAGAATGTACATTGGTGCAGCCACTATGGGAAACAGTATGAAGATACCTTAAGACAGAACTACCATGTGACCCAGCAATTCCATTCCAGGGTATATATCTGAAGAAAACAAAAACACTAACTCAAAAAGATACATGCACTCCAATATTCATAGCAGCATTATTTTAAAAAGCTAAGATATAGAGCAATCTAAGTGTCTTTCAACAGGTGACTGGATAAAGAAAATGTGGTATATATATACACAATGGAATATTACTCAGGCATAAAAAAGAATGAAATTCTGCCATTTGCAAAAATGTGGATGGACCTAGAGGGCATTATGCTTAGTCAGGCAGAGAAAGACAAATACGATATGTTAATACTTATGTGTGGAATCTAAGAGATGAAACGAATGTATATAAAAAACAGAAACAGATTCACATACATAGAGAACAAACTAGTGGTTATCAATTGGGAGAGGAGAAGGGGTAGGGGTATGGGATTAAGAGATACAAACTACTATATATAAAATAAACAAGCAAAAAGGATATATTGTACAGCACAGGGAAATACAGCCATTAATTTATTATAACTTTAAATGGACTATAATCTATAAAAATATTAAATCACTATGTTGTACACCTGAAACTAATATTGTAAAGCAATTAAACTTCAATTTAAAAAAAGTTTTTTTAAGAGATGCTTTGCTATGTAGCACATGGCCAGTTTTTTTTTTTTAATTTCATGTGGACTTGAAAAAAACTGTAAATCTCAAACTGTTCATGCAGAGTTCTATATATGTCTACTTAAGTCAAGCTTCTTAATGATACTTTGCAAATTGTATTAATTTGGGGTCTCCTGAATCTATCAATTTCTGAGAGGGGTATACTAGAAATCTCCTACTATGAAATGAATTTATTCATTTCTCCTTGAATTTATGTTAAATTTTTGGCTTATTCATGTCTAGGCATACTCATGTAACTCCTTCATAGTGTCAGACACTGTAGGAATGAAACTATTAAATTATTAGAAAAAACCTTTTAATCTTAAAATTTGCATTTTGAAAGCATTAGTGGGTCTGATCAATTTTTCATATATTTACTGGCCATTGCATATCTTATACTGTGAGACAGACTTAAATCCAGATAGAAATTTTGCAGGTGATAAAAATGGCTTTTTATACCAGAAATATTGGCTTATTCAATAAATGAATATTGATATATATATACTCTTTACAAGTATCACATTTGTCAAGTCTCTCTCAATACCTATTTTAAATATACTGCTGCAGAGGAGGGAAATTTAGATTCTTAGATCCTAAACTAAAATTCCAGACATCTCAAACATGAAAATGTAAAAATTAAACCACAGAAACACTAGTACAATTGACAGACATCTAAGGATAAACCTGAAAAAATAATTCAACCTGAGCAGTAAGCACTGGCATAGTAGGGTCAAGAAAATATTCAAAAGAAGACAGTCTAAGGAACATCCTATACAAACATCTCAAGGTAAATTCTTATTCAGAGTTAGATCTTTATGCTTAGATAATGTTAACTTATCCTCCACAATACAATGTTTCAATACAATGTTTTTATTAAGATCTCTGCTAAAAAACTGCCATATAGCGGAAACTTTTTTTGTATTATAAAATTATTGTTGAAGATACTATATAGTTTAATGCTCCAAACAACAGGTTCTATATGACAAATTCCTTTTAAAATTTAGTAGGAGGAAAGAGTCTTGAGTCTTTGGAACCTATCTCTTAAATAATACAAAATATGCTACTTAGGTCTTCATTTTTGCATTAGTGGATAGGAAGCTCAGATATAAATTCAATGTTTTAATAATTGGCAAATTTGCTTCCTCTTCCCCTTCAAAATCTTGATTTTCTGTTCTAGTATTTTATTATACACATGCATAAAATGACACCATGATTCAAATCCATTTTGGAAACAGATACGATATAATAATAAAATAAAATTCAGGATCCCTTCTAGCAAAAAGGTTCTGAACCTATATCTTCTTATCTGTTTGTAAAGGGAACACTAATATATTAGGGAACTAATACTACAGTGGCCTTGAAAGGGGCAAGTGGAAATAGCTATATGCAAGTTATGAAGGAAAAATTTAGAAGCAAATACACTTTGGTGACCAGGGTCTTACTCTTACTACAATTACTATAACACCAACACCCAAACTGCAGCTAGGAAAAAAACGGAGATTTAAGTTTTCTTACTTTCAAAATGACTGTGCCTCTCTAGAAACATCTTCCTTCTGAGAAGTAAGCAGCAATTCAGAAGAACTTGCTCGCTGCTTCAGCTTACTACATCTCCTACTTCACTATTGGTTTGGTGACATCTTAGACATCTACAGTCTGGCTCTACATAAAAAACTTCAATAGGAAGATACTGTGAAGAACTGAATTTGAATCATCACTACTGTCAAAAGAAAGAAAACTCCAGTTACACATATCTAAATAGTTACTGTTTTCCCCTGAATAATTAAAAAAATAAAAATTCTCATATAGATACAGGCTTATACACATAATACCCCAAATCATAACCTACACTCTTCCCCTAGAAAAACCCATGAAAAAGACATTTTGCTCTCAGTAGAATTTTAGATTCCTTGTCAATTAAAATGAAAATTTTCACTTAACATTTCTTAATAATTTCTTGTAAAGGGACATTATATACACATAGATTTTACCTCTTTCAATATCATCTATTGGAGATGCTGGGGACATCTTGTTTTCGGATGGAGAGTGTTTTACAAGGTTGGGAGTCCTAGTTGAATTCCTCATTTGTTGCTGCTGTTGCTCTATACGATACTGAATTTTACTGCTTCCTTCAACTCTGCAATTAAGAATATCAAAAGGTCAAAACAAGTACAACAGCAATATAACAACAATTTCAATTCACAAAGTTACTGAAGTTGACCACTTATTCTTTTCCCTAGAGATCTTTAAAGTGACATTCAAGGATTAAACATTAATTTAATTCATTATTTAACAAATATTTATTGAGCCTTGCTATATGCATAGCACACACACAAGTCCACTGAGGGATACAAATGTGAATAAACGCAAAATCACTACTCAAAATTGAATACATAAGACATACACAAGTGACTAAAATAAAATGAAATTATACGTAAGTGTATAAGGTATAAGATAGACCTTAAATTCTGAAGTTATCATTTCTGTTAAAATTAAACCATTTTACCATTTTTCATTCATAACGTTAAGACATGTTACTAAAGGAGAGTCACATAATTTCCCTTCAATACTTTTAAGAAAAGAATATGCAATACAATTATATTGAATTTGCCTCTCCCATTATCAGTCACCACATCCTCTTAGTTCTTCCTTCACAAGGCATTTAGAACTTCACTTTTCTCTTCATTCTTACTCTCAAAAACCATGATTTATGCATTTTTGTTTCACACATTGTTTCATTTAAATTAGTTTGTTTGGTGGATTCATACTTCAAAACAAGAATTAGATTCTTGGTTAAAAACTCTTTAACACGTAATTACTGCCAATAAGGCAAGGTCCTAATTTCATAGTTAATATTGAAGGCATTAGCCTCAACCTACCTTAATAACCTCTAGTCTACTATCAACCTTGATCCCCACTTTCTAATACTCTACAAAGGCACAAAGACAAATCTGTGCTCTATTCAAGTCTTATTCATAGGCTCCAAGTAAGTCATATATATCCCTGCCTTCAGACCTTGCTTACATCCTCACGGTCTCTCTGATCATTTAAATCATTAGTTTCCAAACTTTCCTACAAATAAAAATCACCTGTGGAAATGGGTAATTTAAAAATAGAGCTTCCCAGGCTCCTTCCCCGATCTGTACTTAGATGTGGGAACTAATATGTTTAACAAGCACTCAAAGGTAATTCTTATCATTAAATATATTTGAGGGGGGAAAAAGCCCTAAATTTTAACTTCTTCTCAAGGTACATCAATAAGGGCTCTCTGAATGCTCCAATCAATCATAACCTCTTCCTTCCTTTAATTCCTAGAACAATTTTTATCTATACTATTTGTATGGCTTTTAGAGCATATCCCTCATATTACATGTTAATTAATGCACTGCCTATTTCCAAAAAATTTTTTGAGATGGCTATATTCTCTTATTGTCTTTTCTAGTGGAACTGTCTGTTAATCCAATTAAAATGTTTAAGATTTGAGGTTAGTATTTGTAAAGGAAATTATCCTTTTTCTAGTGCCTTAAATATCTAGGTGCTTGATAAATTTTTACTAATGAATATGAAATTATTTTAAAAAGTGTATAATGACTTCTTTCAGTCCAGTTCTATGAAAGCACCTATAACAGAATAAGAGATACACCTATACATACAGAAAATATTCAGAAACAAAACAAGCTTTGTTTTATCACAGGGGGAAATGGTTAAAGCTTTTGGATATAGATCTCCATCAAATTTAAACTTAGAAAAAGATAATAACATTTTTATACCACACAGAAATAATCCTTGTATAATAATGTGACTTAATCCACTAGCTTTTTCCACTGACATTTCCTTAGCAATTTATGTGTTGATAAAATAAAATTTATTTTATTAACCACATACCTTGTTTTTTTAACAGTGATGTTGCTGTTGAGTTTTTCTAGTCGACATTCCCCAGTATCATGGTTAATAATCAAAATGCATTCTTTTAAATAAGGTTTCTTTGAACCTTTGAAAACAGTTACTGGTGTAGTTGATCCCTGTTTAAAAAGTTAATTATTATTACTTGAAATTTATAATAGAAATTCAGTTGGGAGGGCCACTGAGATCTTCTATCTTTCTCAATCTATTTTATACTTCAAGTTACCTAACTACCTAAACTTACTACTCTGGCAACAAGTAGTACAGTAAAAAATACAGATAAAGACAGGCTGAGATCTCAAAGCTGCTGTCATTGAGGAAAGAAAATGGAGGAAGTACTTGCCCTGAGGAAGAATTTGCAGATGTGTAGATGTGATCTGCAGTAGGCAATTGGGATTCAATTCTAATGCAACCAATATTTCTTACAAAAAAGGGAAAAGAAATCCTGAATTATATTTTCTACCCCTCCTCTTCTTCCTTCCTAAGTTTAATTTTTTAAATCTGGCATTTCATTAAAGTGGTGCTTCCCTATGCAGATTAAGGAAAATGAATGTATCAAGAAACATATGTTACACTAAACCTACTGGTTAATTTTAGCATCATTAAAAGTGGGACAATCAGACATTATATGCTTCATGATGTGATATAAAAGGTATGCAGAATCATCTATAGAAGTATTTTTGCCTAAAAAATCCCCACAAAGAATCTAACTCTTGTCAAGCCTTTAGATACAACTACCAGTTTATAGGAAATATGAGGAATAGAGGAACAAGTTGAATAATACCAGAAAGAAGTAATTTGAAATCCAAAATGTGGATATTTTCTCTGGGACAAGTAACCTGATTTCACCAACAAACCAGTGGCATGAAAGTGGGGAGGGACTTTTACAGAAGAAAAGAGACTTAAGAAACACAATATCAAAATACAATAATAGGACTCTTACATGGATTCTGAGGGGGAAAAAACTGAAAAAAAATTTTTTGAGACTATCATGAAAATATGAATATGGACTAGATATTATAATTAATTCTGCTATGGGTGATAACAGTCTGGTTAGCATGGTAGTTAGGTAAAAATAAAAATATCCTTATCAGTTAGAGATGAGTATGTAAACATTAATGTAATGGCATGTCTGGCTGGGATTGCTTTAACATATGTCAGGAAAAAAAAAGTGGTAGAAAATGATATAAAAAAGATTAGCAAAATGCTGATAACTATTAAAGGTCAGTGATGAGTACCTGGTGGAGTTCATTATATTATTCTATTTTCCATAATAAAATATTAAAGAATCCTAGATTCTTACTAATAACTAACATCTACCTACATGCTCCTCCTCTGTCCTTTGTCTCTGCCTCCCTTAACCCTGAAGGAATTTTATGTTTCTCATTCTCTTATTTTATCCCACATATAAGTATCCCTAAACAATATATTATATTTACTTGGTTTTGAAGTTTACAAAAGAACATTAAACTTTTTAGAGCACTGACCGATTATAATAATTTTGTCAAATACAATAGTAATATTAGATCAGGTTAGAAAAAGGCAATTTCTAAAAAGATTAAAGGGCATACCATATTTAAAAGTTTTTATGATAAAAACTCTCACCAAAGTGGGTACAGAGGGAACATATCTCAACATAATAAAATCTATGTATGACAAACCTACAGGCAGCATAGTACTCAATGGTGAAAAACTCAAAAGCTTCCCACTAAAATATGGGATGAGACAAGGTTGCCCACTATCACCACTCCTATTCAACATAGCCTTGGAAGTCCTAGCCACAGCAATCAGGCAAGAGAGAGAAATAAAAGGGATCCAAATTGGAAAAGAAGAGGTAGAAGTGGCACTATATGCAGATGACATGATACTATATATAGAAAACCCTAAAAGATCCACACAAAAACTACTAGAAATAACTGAAGAATTCAGCAAGGTAGCAGGTTACAAGATTAATGTTCAAAAATCAGTTGCATTTCTTTACACTAATGATAAATCAACAGAAAAAGAAAGTAAAGAAACAATCCCCTTTAAAATAGCACCCAAAGTAATAAAATATCTGGGAATAAATCTAACCAAGGAGGTGAAAGAATTATACACAGAAAACTATAAACCATTGATGAAGGAAATTAAAGAAGACTTTAAAAAATGGAAAGATATTCCATGCTCTTGGATTGGAAGAATCAATGTTGTTAAAATGGTCATACTGGCCAAGGCAATCTACAGATTTAATGCAATCTCTAACAAATTACCCAGGACATATTTCACAGAACTAGAACAAATCATAATAAAATTTATATGGAACCATCAAAGACCTAGAATTGCCAAAGCATTACTGAAGAAAAGGAAGAGGCTGGAGGAATAACTCTCCCAGACTTAGACAATACTATAGAGCTACAGTCATCAAGACAGCATGGTTTTGGTACAAAAACAGACATATGGACCAATGGAATAGAATAGAGAGCCCAGAAGTGAACCCACAAACTTTTGGTCAACTAATATTTGACAAAGGAGGCAAGAATATACAATGGAATAAAGACAGTCTCTTCAGCGAATGGTGTTGGGAAAACTGGATGCAGCATGTAAATCAATGAAGCTAGAACACTCCCTCACATCATACACAAAAATAAACTCAAAATGGATCAAAGACATAAACATAAGACAAGATACAATATCAATGGTTTATAGTTTTCTGTGTATAAATCTTTCACCTCCTTGGTTAGACTTCTTCCTAGGTATTTTATTACTTCGGGTACTATTTTAAAGGGGATTGTTTCTTAACATTCTTTTTCTGTTGATTCATCGTTAGTGTAAAGAAGTGCAACTGACTTTTGAACGTTAATCTTGTAACCTGCTACCTTGTTGAATTCTTCAGTCAGCTCTAGAAGATGTGGTATATTTATACAATGGAATACTACTCAGCCATGAAAACCGACAACATAACGTGATTTGCAGCAACGTGGATGCTCCTGGAGAACGTCATTCTAAGTGAAGTAAGCCAGAAAGAGAAAGAAAAATACCATATGAGATCGCTCATATGTAGAATCTAAAAAAAAAAAGAACATAAATATAAAACAGAAACAGACTCATAGACATAGAATACAAACTTGTGGTTGCCAAGTGGGTGGAAGGTGGGAAGGGATAGACGGGATTTCAAAATTGTAGAATAGATAAACAAGATTATACTGTATAGCAGAGGGAAATATACACAAGGTCTTATGGTAGCTCACAGAGAAAAAAATGTGACAATGAATATATATATGTTCATGTATAACTGAAAAATTGTACTGAACACTGGAATTTGACACAACATTGTAAAAATGATTTTAAATCAATAAAAAATATTAAAAAAAAGACAAA